CAGAGCGCTTAGAAAGGATCAGTGGCTCACCCCGAACGCGATGGAGCAAGGAGCAGGGTCGGAGGATCAACGTAGATGCTGGTCGACGGTCACCACGGCCACGGCGGTGCAAACAACGGTGACGGCGATGCTCCAGTGGCTGTAGTGGACAAAAGGGTCAAACAACCGAGCACACAGCACCACGGCAACATGGCGAAGCTGACGGCATGCCAAGCACGAGCAGAGACAGACCATGGAGCTCTGGCCACGGCGAAGCGTGCTCGACGGAGATGCTGCCGGCCATGAGGAAGAAAGGCTGCTAGCGGCGGTTCTTGGCGAAATCAGGCGACCAGAGCTGGCTGGCTGGGCGCACAAGGAACTAGCGAAGCGATGAAAGGCGTTGCTGCGACTGGAAAACACTACGGCGATGACACGGGCTCACCGGAGTTGGGCAGTGGCGACGGGAAAAGCAGAGCAGGGAAAACGGCGAAGAACGGCGACGGTATAGGTCTTATAGCACAGCTCAGAAGCACAAGGAAGCCATGCAGGAGCCCCCTCCGCGCCAGCGCGACGCCAAAGACGGCCACGACCGTGCCTGGAAGCAAGCAGAAGGCCACCGGTGGTGTAGCTTAAGCGGCGAGCACTGTTCCACATAATTACAGAATTGCTATTCGTCTAAATTTCCAAATTACTCCCAAATTTGTGTAATAGCTCAAAAATCTCCAAAAACAAAAGTTGTTCAAAATTCAAAGTTCTACAACTTTGCTTTTATACCCATACCCAAATTCGGTCTACATTTTGAAATGCAAATTTGAATTCAAAAGGGGACACTTTAAGTATATTTCGCCTTTTCAAATTACTTCAAATTTTTCTAAACAACTTTGAAAACTCCAAAAACAAACTTTGTACAACTCAACAAACTCTACATTTTTGCTTTAAGGCTCAACCCCAAAATGTACTTTGATTTTGAAATGGGTTTTCGGGGTAAAACAAATCACTGGAAATCAGGGTTTTCGGAAATCCACATCACAACAAATCTTTGAACTCGATCCAAATCATACAAGGCAACACTCATAACATAAATGTAAACTTGTTTTAGTGAATGCATATCAAAGTTTTCAATATGACCAAATGCTTTGCAATGCATATGATGACATGGTAGTTTTAGTATTTAAACACCCGAGGTGTTACACCATGGGTGAGTGGTCGACATTGTGTAAGCGTCGTGCTTATACATTGTTACCTGTGGATACACCCTATATTCTGGGTCATGTGGTAGATCGCGAATGTGACACTCCCATTGAGTCCTTTGTACTTCACTCCCCAAATATAGGTATACAAGTAGTGTCGGGTATCGATATTAGGGATACCTGGAGGAAAGAAGTTAACAACCATGAACGTTAATTCGCCTGGATGGTCCAAGAAGTATTTAAGGTCTCGCCCGACCCAGAGGGCACGGGCTCCGTCTCGCCCGATCTCGAGGGCACGGGTCCTGTCTCGCCAGACCCCTCAGGCGCAGGCCCGTCTCGCCCGACCCCAAGGGCGTGGGCCCCGTCTCGCCAGACCCCTCAGGCGCGGGCTCCGTCTGGCCTAATCCCAAGAGCACGGGCTCCATCTCGCCTGACCCCTCGGGCGTGGGTTTCATCTTGCCCGACGGGGATCCGTACCGCTTCTAGGGTACGACCCCAGGGTCAAACTTCTAACACCGGGAGGGAAGCGGGCACGTCTCGATGTGACCCATGGCCACGACAGACCATACCTAGGGGTTCACGTCGCCAACAGTGTCGGGCGTGCTGGCGCTGTGCTGCCTAATCCCCGTACGGCCACTGACAGGCATGTTGGTTCACCACGCCATCTGTCGGGATAGGATGGAACGCCATGACCAGCTGATGACGTCAAGGCATGGTGCCAGTGACGAACAGGGCCGTAACGTGGAGCTGTCCCCATCATCATTTATAGGACCGGTAGGACCCGCATAAAAGGAGATGAAGGACGCCGTGACCCTGGAGGCCTTCTTCTCCCTCGCTTTTCTCTTTTTCTCTCTCTTTCTCTCTCTATAACCTGCGCCTTCCCTTCACCTATAAAAGGGGAAGGAGGACGCCCTAGGAGGGGGACGAGCACACGACTGAATGAGCTCAATAAGACTCAACTCCGTTCGATCTTTTCACCAGAGACTTGGGACCTTCTCCCTCTCTCGCCCGTTTGTAACCCCTACTACAAACTAGTGTCGGTAACATGAGCAGCACATACTAGACATAGGGACATTCCGCCTGAACCAGTATAAATCCTTGTGTCCTTCGAGCACACCATCTGGGCCAGACGTGCAGATACAAATTTACTAGCCAGTGATCTGAAACACCAACAAGTAGGATCTAGTTACGAAGAAAGACAAGCTCTATTCTTAATCTTCCTTAGTAATATCCCTTATGTGTAGATATGAAGTTGATTTTACCAATGACTACTAGGTATAATTGCACTAATCAATGTATGCTTTGACTTGTAATTAAGAATGACTTAGGAATTCTTCCTCTAATATTCTACTTAATCATGCTAATGCCATAGAAAGGAGTACTCTGAGTGATCAGTGATTAGTTATTATGCACTATTCATATATACAATTACCTCTTGACTTACCCCTGTTGTGAGTAGAATATTGGTTATGGTTTACCTCTCCATCAATAGCATAAGTTATCAATACATGTCCATGCCAGACCTTCCCTGTGATAAAAATATAAATAACGATACCTGTAATATTCTCGGGTAAAGTGCTACAATAGTATATTATCTGTGCGCTTACAGATTTCTTTTATTTATATATATTCTTTTTAGTCACATGAAATATTAAAGTACTTCTTAGTGTCATTCTAGAAGTGGCACTAGGTAGTACCAACAAGCATTTCTGGCATCAACGCTAGGGATGACAACTTAGTAAAAGATGCTAACGAATGTCAACAACATAGGGTGACTACTTAAAACAAGTGACATGTTAATAAATACTAATATGAGGCTTTATTGGGAACTCTTGGAGATGCTCTCCAAGAGTTCCCAAGAATTTCTTCCCAAAATCATGGAGTTTTCCAACTTGTCAAAAAGTATTGAGAGGAATAAGTAAGACATCTCCAACAATTTTCAATAATTAACTTCTAAAATATAGAAGACAATTTTACATCAGGAATCCTATACTATTTCTAAATTATCCTAGCCACTTATATATATTGTTTCTCTCTTGTACATTTGCATCATGAACCCTTTCCTACTCTTTATTCTTTTCCACACCCTTCCATCTTAGATTGGGAGACCGATACATGCGTCTTCCACGCACGGATATATCGGCGCTTTTGGTGATTTTTTTTACAAGTGCCAAAAGATTGGGAGGTGGGATTGGGAACTCTTGAAGATGGATTTTTTTCTATTCTTGCCAAAAATCCTAGATTTTGAGGCTTTATTGGGAACTCTTGGAGATGCTCTCCAAGAGTTCCCAAGAATTTCTTTTCAAAACCATGGAGTTTTCCAACTCGACAAAAAGTATAGAGAGGATAAATAAGACATCTCCAACAGTTTCAATAATTTACTCCTAAAATATAGAAGACAATTTTACATCAGGAATCCTATACTCTTTCTAAATTATCCTAGCCACTTGTATATATTTTTTCTCTCTCTTGTACATTTGCATCAGGAACCCTTTCCTACTCTTTATTCTTTCACACTCTTCCATCTTAGATTGGGAGACCAATACGCGTGTCTTCCACGCACGGATGTATCCGCACTTTCGGTGATTTTTTTCTAAGTGCCAAAAGATTGGGAGCTGGGATTGGGAACTCTTTGAGATAGATTTTTTCTATTCTTGCCAAAAAAATCTTAGATTGGGAGACTTTATGGGGAACTCTTGGAGATGCTCTTAAGTGCTAACAACAGAATCAAATCAAACTACGGGACAATGCCTTTCAAAACTATAATATTTTTATGCCATCCAAAAATATGGTTTTTCATCGATGCCATTTATTTAGATTTTTCTTCAAAAAAATGCCACTGTTGTAGGCTTTAAGCATACTCCAAACATAACACCGTACAAAAAATGCCACTGCTTAGGTAGAATCAACGATGGAGAATCAGTGTTATGATAGTTTGGTGGATCCAACGGCTGAAGATAACAAGTACTGACGGGTTAGAACAAAAACTGGCAGTGATATAAAAATTTTCACTACTGGTTTGTGGCTAAAACCGGCAGTACTATATCATTGTCGGGTCATAGCATAACTTGGCAGTGATTTGGTACCTATCACTGTCAGCTCGTACCATCAACCGACAGTGATATATCACTGCCAAGTGGTGGTTTTAGCCTATAGTAATAGACGGCTTCACTGCTAGGTGTTTGGCTTTTCGCCAATTTTCTAGATCTTCGCCTTACCACCCGACAGTGATTAGTAGTCACCGCCGGTTGAAGCACACCCGACAGTGATTGCATGTTCTGGTGTAGTGCAGTTTGGAGATCCCGTAGGATGGTCTTTCTTGGGAGCCTACTGTGTACTGTTGAAACTGGCCTAGCACTACTTTAGAAAACTTTACCGAGGCGGGCAGAAATGATTAACCGAGGCGGGTATCGCAACCACCTTGGTCGAAAGATCACGGTTAATGTGATCTTTTTTTAGGCGGTTCGCTGCCCGCCTCGATAAATCGAATAAAAAACAAAAAAAGGAAAACCTGTGGATAAGCCCAGTGAGCCCATCCACGTGCCCCTGCTGGCGTAGCTGCTCGTCGGTGCCTGCATCCTTGCCGGAATGTGTGTAGCACCGGGATCTGGCCTTCCTCCGCCGAGCCCATCCATGCATGTGTCGTTGTCGCTAGCTGGATTCACCCGTGCGCCACCACCGCTCACCGGATCTGGATGTCTCGTGCTGGATCCGTCGCTTCCATGCCAGATCTGGGCTGTGGCATCCCTGCTCGAGGGCCTGGCCGTCGGAGAAGGCCATGGCGCCCCTGCTTGAGGCCGTGGCCACCGAAGAAGGCCGTTGCACCCCTGCTCAAGGGCATGGCCACTGGAGAAGGCCCTGGCCGCTGGACTGTGGGCGCACCGCCGGAGAGCTGCCCCCACCGGATCTAGACATGGCCTCCACCGCTGAGGACCAAAGCTGGTCACCCTTGCGGGCACACCGCTGGAGAGGCCCCTCAGGCCCCGCCGAACCTGGACGCAAACACCACTGCTGAGAGAGAGAGCCTGGGCTCAGGGGGAGGGCGCGAAGAGGGGCAGCAGGATGGGGAGAGGTGGGGTGCGGAGAGGAGCGGCTAGGAGTGGGGAGGAGAGGGGCACAGAGAGGGTCGGCGGATGGTGAGGGGTGCAGCTAGGAGTGGTGTGGGGTGTGGCTGGGAACCCTAGCTCATGCTTATATATGAGCCAGGTAGAAGGATAGATATGGGCCTTTTCTGGGCTATGAGCTGGGCCACTGTTTTTGGAGGCGGGCCATATAGGGTGCTCGCCTCCAAAAATATATTTATGGAGGCGGGCTCCTTAAAACGTCCGCCTCGGTTAAGTTTGATTAACCGAGGCGGTTGCATTAGGGCAACCGCCTCGGTTAATAGGCATTAACCGATTTGGTTCCTTTACATTGCCCGCCTCAGTTAAGCATTAACCGAGGCGGTTGCTGGGCCGGCTACCCTGCCACGAATAACCGAGGCTGGCAGCCGGCCCAATCGCCTCGGAGGCTATTTTGAAAACGCCTTGGATAAGTTTTTGTGTAGTAGTGTAGGCTAGCTACTTTTCGAACCAGCATGAGCTAGCTTTGGTTGTCTGTGATGCAAATCGTGTTTAATTTTTCTCTAGAAACTCATCTTATCTCATGGAAACTTATAAATTGCGTGTGAAATAAATTTCCCTCTCTATTTATATGAGAGGATCATGGCCAATAATTAAGAAATCTAGTTATCCAATCGTCAAAAAACCAATCTATCTTACTTTTATCTCTTTCCTCAAGCTCCCCAAACCCTTTTTCTATCCGGCGCTTCTCTTGCTAAGATTTGCCAGCGTTTTAGGTAGCCTTGCCGATCCTAGCTAGGCGCCGTGGTGAGGCGCGGTGCCCGACCCCCTTCATAATGCCTATGCATTTGCGGCGGACGCCTAGGCGACGCCATACACACATTGTATGGCATTGTAAGCTAGAAATCTATATACTAGTGAAGCACATACATACCTCGTTTGTTGCCAATTCTTGAGCCCATGTTCCTTTCTTTCCTTTTCAAAAGCTCTTCTCCCATGTAGCATCCATCCCCCTTGAATGAAACTGCATGACAATTATAGAATTCAGCAATCAAATAGGTTATCAGTTGCTGAGAATTAAATAGGAAACAATACACAAGAGGCAAGATAACAAACTAGCAAGCATTAGTGCATGCATGAGCATGACAAATGACATCATAGTATGTCTCAAATAGTCCACAAACTTAGAATAAAGTATTGAACTATAAAGCATACCAATTAAGTCAACTACACCAAAGCCATACAATAGGAGTGCAGGACAACACAAAAGTACAGCAAGGGTGCAGGACATAAAAGAATCCATCAGAAGGAGTGCAAATCTCTATTTCAGCACTCAAAATCCATCATCAAACTCATCAGGATCAGCAGCCTTGTCTTCTTTAGTAGCAGGAACATTGCCATCTTCTTCACACTCGCTCACTTCCGCATCATCATGTGGGTCTTCAACTTCATCTTCCTCTTCTCCATCTTTAGTAGCAGGAACATGAACATTTCTTGAACGACTATAATGTTGAGTAGCAGTAGCTCTCCTAGGAAGATTATGACCCTACAGTGCTTGTGATGCACCGGTGGCTTCATCAACATGCTGCCATGTGAGCTCATTGACAGCATCAGACCCTCGAGCACCTGGAATGGGCACATGCAATGAATCAGCCCATTTATTGTCCCAATCAAACTCCTCAATGACCAAAGGGTCATATTTCTTGCCTGCCTTCTCACGCATAAGCTGAACCCTTGTTCTCATCTTCTGATTGTATGAAACAAAAACAATATCATTCAATCTCTTGTGCAGTAGCCTATTCCTTTTCTTTGTATGCATCTACAAATAAAAAATCAGATGGGAAGCGAAACAAAAAATCAGATTATATACATCTAAATAGAAATTGTTAATCACAAGGATACTCACAAAATTGAAGGTACTCTAGCATCTCTCACAACCAGATGATGAAGCACAAAGACTAACTATACGCTTAGCAAGTCTTTGTAGTTCAATGGCTCGGCCACCATAAGAAGGCCACCAATCAACTGGATGAAAAGTACAACACATATTAGGAGTTTGGAATGCAATTAAGTTGCTGAAATTTGCAAGCTGAGATTAACAACACTTACGAGGACTCATTTTGTCATAGCTTTCCTTTACCATTTTGTTTGAGAAGGCATCTCCACGTTGCTCTTCATACTCAATGGCCTACCTATTGATCTTCATTTGTGTTTCCACATCTGGTATCATTCTTCCAAGCACTTCAATAAAACAACCTCTTAGCTGCCCAATAATGGCATCATCATTAGCTTTTACAAGAGGATAAAAATTTCCTGGGTTCAAATATAGGGCAGCCCCATACAATGGATGCTCCATTTGGTTCACCCAATGCTTCTCAATAATGTCCATGATATGCTTGAGCAGGCCCTGCTTGGTTGATATATTGAAGCTGAGCTTTATCCTCTCTTTTGCATGATTCATTAGAGCTGTGACCTCTGGCATTGCAGGCTTCTGATCACCATCAACAACCCTCAAAACAATTAAGAGTGGGGCTGAAGCTCTTAGGCAATCTTCTACTGAGTTTCAAAACTCAGTAGATAGTACAATGTCTTGCACTTGTTGACCTGCTGTAGTTGTACACAAGTTGTTCCCAATCCATGCTTCACTAACAAACAAGCTCTTCAAGGCATCCTTGTTCTTGTACAAACTCTTCAATGTCAGAAATGATGTGGCAAATTGAGTCTTTGCTACCCTAACAAGATCAGTCCCACCTGTTTGAGCCCTCATTGCACTAAGATGCCTCCCATGCCTATAAATGAATGGGGTGACACACCTAGCACGTGCAATAGGTTTCTTAAATGCCTTCAAGTTCCAAAATTCTTCTAACATCAGATCCAAGCAATGTGCAGCACAAGGACTCCAAAATAGTGTGGGAATCCTATCCATCAAAATCTTACCAGTAGCCTTGTAGTTAGCGCCATTGTTGGTCACAACTTGAACAACATTATCCTTTACAATGTCCTCAATCTTCTCCTGTAACAAATCAGCTAACATTGTTGCACTATGAACTTGACTTGATGCATCAACTGACTTCAAAAAGTACGTTCCCTCAGGGTTGTTCACAAGAAAATTAATCAAGTGGTGCCCTCTCATATCAGTACATTCGTCTGACATTAGTGTACAACCATATTGCTTCTAGGCCTGCTCATGGTCCTTCCTCATGGCACTTGTCACCTTAACACATTCTTGAAGCAAAGGTTCACCAAGCTGTTGGTTAGTTGGAGACTTGTACCCTGAACCATATTGGGTTGTTGCCTCATAGGCAATTTCAAATTGCCTTGAATTTGTTGCATTAAAGGATACACCACACTCCATGAACCATAGTGCCCATTGCAAATCCACATATTGCTTCTCCTCCTTAGTCTTTGTGCTGGACTCAATGGTGGGTTGAAAGTCCTTTGCACGCCTTTGATCTACTATCTGTTCAGGTGTTCTTCTAAGCATAGCAACAACAGACTTTGTTGTCTTTGGTGTTGAATTGCCATTGTTAGGTCTTGAAGCCTTGAATTGATAGGAAGCATGCCTTCTCTTGGCAGCTGTCCCAAAACTTGGTTTTTTTGCAGCCGGTTTTGGTGTTGCACCCCCATCTACTCTGCTTCTACATCTGTTGTGGCCACCTCCACAACTTCATCTTCCCCATCTTCCTCCTCAATACCATCTAAGAACAAAGGTCTTCTTCTCTTCTTTTGCAAGTAAGCTTCCATCTCTTTCCTGATTTCAGCGGTAACTTTTGGACAAAGGACAATATCTCCATATCCACCAGCCAAATGTTGCTTGAACCTCTTTATGCCTCCTGAAGCCTCATTTCCACACAGGATACATGTCACCCAGTCTCTCCTAGCAGGGTCCTGCCAGTAGGCGTATTTCTAGCCTAGATCATTGGACTTCGCTTTCCTTGCTGGATCAATCTTGGGATCATAATCAGGTGCTTCACTTGAGCTTGCCATGTTGCTGGATGCTACATAAAAGAAAGCAAGAGCATTACTAATAAATAACTAATCAAAGCAAGAGACTTATGTTTTTTGTTCTGTACAACAGTAAACAAAAGAAAGAACACAAGTGAATGGCACTATGGCAGAGGCAGACATTATACTAATCAAAGAAAGATCCTTGTGCTTTGTGTTGTAGCAGGGTGTGTGATAGCCCAAGCACAAGTAGCCATTTGTATATGTGAGTGACAACCCATATTCAGAGCAGAGCGCGAGGCATAGACTATAATATTCAAAGCAGACAGCAGAGTACACGCCTTAGATATTTGGGAAAGCAGAGAGGAGGCAGGGGCATACCAGGCAGAAGGGGAAGTACCCAATGGAGGTGCAGACAATAGGCCAGGTGGGCGAGCAGCTACCAACTACCGACGGTCGACAGAGGCGCAGACTCGAGGCAGAGTCAAACTATGGACGGAGATGCGGACTCGAGGCAAAGGCAGAGTCGACGGAGGTGCGGACTGGAGACTATGGACGATCGACGGCTGCAAGCAGCGACGTGCGATGTAGGGCTAGCTCCACGGCAGGGGCGGCCAGCCGGTGGACTGGAGCAGAGGAGCAGCCAAGCGGAGCTCGAGGTAAGTCCGCCGCCTTCTCTCTTCCTCTCCCCTCGTCCGCACTCACGGTAAATGCGACGCGCGGTCGATTTCCCCCCTCTTGCATTTCGTGCGGTCCTTTTGGCGCCCTTCCCTCGCGAGTTAGCATACGGTATCCGCGGCGTGGCTGTAGGCGTCCGCCCGACGCCTTTCTACGCCTAGGCGCCGCCTAATACGATTAGGCGGACGCCATACCACTGCAGGTTGTGGCGCTCCCAACGCCTAGCACCTCTGCCACGCCTTGTCGCCTAGGCGACGCCTCAAAAACATTGGTTTTATCCATTTTACTATGTATCTAGACATATTATTACATCTAGATGCATATCAAAATGGATATAACTGAAAAGTCAAATCGACTTATAATTTGGAACGGGGGAGTATGAGATTATTTAGGTCCCGTTTGGCACAGCTCAGCTTCACTAGTGAAGCTTTTTTTGTGTTCCGCTCAATGATCTGCTCTACCGGTGAAGCTGAGCTATTTTTCTCTTCTTGTTGGGCAAACCAGCTTCATATTGGTGGAAGAAAAGATGAAATTGCCATAGTGTCCTTAGCTTTTTTCTTATTTTTCCCTCAACTCCTCACGACATCTCTTTCTTCCTTGCTAACCGCTCGGTCACATGTGGGACCCATGGAGGCCACCGCGCCGCTCATCCAGCGGCTCTCGCGAGCCCCGGTGGCCGCGCTACGGCGACCGTGCCCCCCCGCCGGCCACACCCCTAGGGCCCTCCCCATGCCAAGTCCCGTAGATGGCGATGAAGTTCCAGCCACACGCCCCAGACGACGCGTCCCAACCCCGCGACCCCGATGGCGGTGCCCCCGGTGGGTCTTGGCCCGCGAGCCGATGGAGGAGTCCTGGCCCTGCGCCCCAACGGCGGCGCTCTGCCCCCACACGTCCGCACCTACGCCTGACGGCGTCCACGCGCCCGTAACTCCGACCGTGCCCCCGGCGGGCGGCACCCCGGCAACGGATGCCTCGGCGAGCTGCGCTCCCGTTAGGCAGTGCCCCGGCAAGCCGCGCCACTCTCCCGGTGGTCGCACTCCAGTGATGGCGCCCTGGCAGCCGTGGCCGGCTCCATCCCGCGAGCGTGCGCGCTCTCTCTCTCCCTCTCTTGGCAAAAGTTGTCTTTTGTGCACAGTGGGGCGAGAGATGAAGCAAGAATAAGCTACTGGATAAAAAAATAGCTTCACCCTACTGGATAAAAAATAGCTTCACCCATGAAACTGTTCTGGAAAAGGGTGTTGGGTGTTTGACAAAAAAAACAGCTCAAAACAGTTGATGAAGTTGTTGGTGAAACTGTGCTAAATAGGCTCTTATATTATTCTTAAAATTTAGTAAATTAAAATTTATATTTAGTCACATCATACGAATTTCAATATCCAAATACTTAAGCACATGTGTTCCAATCAGGAAAGCACCAATAACAAATCCTACGTTGTAAAGACCAAATAAAAGTTGTAATGATAATTTTCACCCTGTTTTTCAGCACTACTGCAGCATTACTTTTCAGCGAAGAAACAATGTTCTCTCGTAACAAATTAGCATCAGCAACCGCCGCCAAATTTCAGCGAGCCAAACAGTGGCTTTGTTACTCAATGAAACTCCATGGTAGATCAAAAACGGCACATTATAATTAATAGGAGTAGTAATGATCGAGCTAGCTGCATGTTATTGATTGCGTCTGATTGCATCTAATTAATAAGCAACGAGAAAAAAGCGAAAAATAATCTAGGAAAAGGATCCGTGCAAGGTGCAGGTGCAGTGCTTTGCTGTAGTGGTCACAAGAAGGAAGGCGTGAACCACGCCGGCGGTGGCCATTGGCGATGCTTGCCGAGCGCACCTATCTTCTCTACCCTGCCGGCCTTTAGGCTATAGACGCCAACGTCCCTGAGCTCGTCTATCAGCTCGGTGTCGTCGGAATCGCAGTTGGCGTTGGGCAGGCAAGCACCCCTGACATCATCGTCAGTGAAGTAGATGTAGCCGGGCGTGATGCCCTAGTGCTCCCTTTTCGACAGGCACAGCGATCCATTGTCGCCGACGAAGACTATGGCATCGCCAATGTCTGCCGCCTCCTCCCACCGGCCTTGCCTTTGTCGTGGTCCAGTATCTGGACCTTGAAGAAGACGCGCGTGTTCTCGGAGTTAGAGCGGTACCAACTGATAGATCATTAGGATCGACTATCAGCAGATCTAGCATGTATGAACTTGAATTTAGGATATGGTAAACCCTAGAATATGAACTAGTGCTAGGAAAGAGAGAGAGAGGGATGCGGTGTTAGCAAACCATTGGTCGCCTTGGAGGTAGACGAGCTGGCCATGGCGTTAGTGTCGGTGACGCGGTGAAGGCGTAGAGTAGCAGTGGAGTCCGTCGCTGGTGTGGACGTCGCAGTGGAGACACGGTCGCAGAGGCGGCGGTGAAGACGTGGCGATGTCGGCTTCCCGTCGCTGGCAGCGCCCTCTCTCTAGATCGGCTTAGTGTTAGGATGTAGGTGGGGTTTGTGGCGGCTCAGGTGAACCTCGTGCCTTGTGCCCTGGCCCCCACCTCTTTTTTATGGCGCTGTGCGATGGGGGCCCACCAACCATAGATGGGGTTGGGCGTCCCCGATCAGGGCATGGATCAAGGGCCCAATTGGTCGTTGGGCCAAGTTGGTAGAGATCAACCTAACATTCTCCCCCTTGATCTCACTTTCTGAATTAAACTTAACTTACTTTATCTTTTCCCATTCCATCACAGATCAGTGTATAGAGCGTGCCTCATCGTCACAGTCAGTTGCCATTAGATTAACAGCTACAGTGCACCTCTCTATTTTGAAACAGGTTCTCATCTAGGCCCTTATTATCCAGGAATCATAGGCTTTCTCTTAAACCCATGCCGGCTAAGTGTTCTCTGAACATGTTGGGTGGTAAGCCTTTTGTAAGCGGATCTGCGAGCATCTTTTCTGTACTTATATGCTCAATACTAATTATATGATCCTAGACTTTGTCTTTCACAACATAATATTTTATGTCAATGTGTTTAGCAGCACCACTTGACTTATTGTTGTGAGCATAACATACTGCTGGATTATTATCGTAGTATAACTTGAGTGGCTTATGTATGTCGTCTACCACTTTCAACCCGGGCATGAACTTCTTCAGCCAATTTACCTGCACTGTGGCCTCATAACACGCTACAAACTTGGCATACATCGTAGACGATGTAGTGACTGTTTGCTTTGAGCTTTTCCACGATATAGCTCCTCCTGCGAGAGTGAATATATATCCTGATGTGGATTTTCTATCATCTCCCGCATAATCTGAATCTGTATACTCCTCTATATGTATGGAATCAGATCTTTTATATGTTAGCATGAGACCTTTTGTGCCTTGCAAGTAACGCAAAACTTTCTTTACTAGTCCCCAGTGTTCTATTCCTGGATTACTCTAATATCTGCCAAGTAACCCGGTAACAAATGCTAAGTCAGAGCGTGTACACACTTGAGCAAACTGTAAACTTTCGACAGCTAAAGCATATGGAACCACTTTCATTTGATCGATCTCATATTGGTTCCTGGGACATTGAAATTCCCCAAATCTATCGCCCTTGACTATGGGAGCAGGTGAAGGCTTATAATTTTGCATACTGTATTTCTTTAGAACCTTTTCTAAGTATGCCTTTTGTGATAATCCTAAAACTCCCTTTCTTCTATCTCGGTGAATCTCTTTTCCTAAAACGAACGAAGCTTCACCGAGATCCTTCATATCAAAATTCGAGGACAAGAACATCTTCATTTCTAGTAGTAGATTAACATCACTATTAGCGAGTAAGATATCATCCACATACAAGATTAGGAAAATATATTTCCCATTCTTGAACTTTGCATAAACGCAATTGTCCTCTATATTTTCTTCAAACCCAAACTTTCTTATTGCACTATCAAACTTTAAATACCACTATCTTGATGCTTGTTTTAATCCGTAAATAGATTTCTTCAGGCGGCATCACATACATTCTTTTCCCTCCACAACAAAACCTTTTGGTTGTGCCATGTAAACATTTTTCTCCAAATCTTCGTTTAGGAACGCCGTTTTTACATCCATCTAATGTAATTCTAAATCGTAATGTGCTACAAGCGCCATTATAATTCTAAAAGAATCCTTATATGAGACTGTAGAAATATCTCATTGTAATATATGCCTTCTCTTTGCGTGAAGCCTTTCGCCACAAGTCGCGCTTTAAATCTTTCTATGTTCCCTTTGGAGTCATGTTTAGTTTTGTAGACCCATTTACAGCCTACTGTCTTGGCTCCTTTAGGAATTGTTTCTAAGTCCCAAACATCGTTGGTATTCATTGATTTCATTTTATCTTGCATGGCTTCAAGCCACTTTGATGAGTGAGCGCTTCTCATAGCTTCTTCAAATGAGGTGGGATCACCTACCATTTGAAATTCTTCACATTCATAGACTTCGTAGTCATCAGGAATGGCTGATCTCCTGACTCTTTGAGACCTTCTAGGGGCCTCGTTAGTTGATGCTTGTTCTATATGAGGCTATTGTTGCTCTTCCTCATGTGTGACAACGGGTTCTATGGGATCCTGAACGACAGGTTCCTCATGTTCATTCATTGTTGCCACAGGAGAACTAACAACAGGTGTTGTTACTATAGTGTCATGCACTGTTGGTACAGCAACAACGGGTAGCATGAAGAATGGTTCCTGAACCATCGGAGTGGGCACGTATACCCGCTTCTCTTCAAAATTAATTTCTCGCGCTACCATGCTCCCCTTGACCATATCATCCTCCAAGAACACAGCGTGTCTCGTTTCTACAAACTTCGTATGTCTGTCAGGACAATAGAAGCGATAACCTTTTGACTTTTCTGCATAGCCAATGAAATGGCAACTAACTGTCTTGGAGTCTAGCTTCCCTATGTTTGGATTAAAGACTTTAGCCTCAGCTGGACAACCCTACACACGTAAATAGTTAAGTGAGGGTTCTTTTCCTGTCCGCAACTCATATGGTGTTTTGGGCACCAACTTGCTTGGCACTCGATTAAGAATATGAATGGCGATTTTTAACGCCTCCATCCATAAACTTATCGGTAGAGTAGAGTAACTTATCATACTTCTCACCGTATCTATTAAGGTACGGTTGCGTCTTTTAGCTAATCCATTCTGCTAAGGCTCGCCTAGTGTAGAGTACTGGGCAACTATGCCATTTTCCTGTAAGAATCTTGTAAAAGGTCCAGGAACTTGGCCATATGGGGTGTGTCGACCATAGTACTCCCCCCACGGTCGGATCTTACTATCTTAATCTTTAAATTGTGCTGATTTTCTACTTTAGCCTTAAATATCTTAAATTTATCCAATGCTTCTAATCTTTTCTTAATTGGATAAATATAACCATAACGAGAATAATCATCTGTGAATGTTATAAATGAATCATAACCATCCACACTCTTCACAGGAAAAAGAACCACAGATGTCTGTGTGAATTATTTCTAAAATTCCTACACTTCGTTTGGCATCTTTCTTTATTTTCTTAACATACTTTCCTTTTATGCAATCAATGTATTGTTCTAAATCTAAAAATTCTAAAGGCGGAAGAATTGATTTCTTAATCAATCGCTCTATTCTCCCCCTCGAAATATGGCCTAAACGACAGTGCCATAATTTCGATGATACATCATGAACTCTCTTCCGCTTATTTGTTGCATTCATAGACGCAGCCGATCATGATGCCATGGTGCTCCCTCGTCGACAGGCACAACGATCCATTGACGCCGATGAAGATTGCGGCATCGCTAATGTCTGTTGCCTCCTCCCACCGGCCTTTGTCATGGTCCAGTATCTAGACCTTGAAGAAGACGCGCGTGTTCTCGAAGTTAGAGCGGTACCGACGGCTAGGGTTTTCCTCATCCCTAGAGTGTTTGAGCACGACCATGAGCCGCCCATCCATCGACACGACAAGGTACTTGAGGTGCAGCTGTTGGTCCTCGTAAGCCAACCTCGGTGCGACTGCATCGCTAGTGAACTCACCGGTCTCGATGTTGCGCTGCCACGCCTCGACGTGGACCGTGTAGGTGATGGACAAGAAGCGGCCGTCGTGGTGTATGGCATCCTCGATGCCATTGTGGGAGGGTGCCATCCTCCACGCGGGGTCCTCCGCCATCGCGAAGGCCAGGGCGCCGATGGACCGATCCATGATGAGCATGGCGGCGTAGATTCCCGGGCGCGGTGACGCGGAGAGGACAACCTTGTGGTAGAAGATCTGCCGCATCTAGGCGGTCGAGAGTGTGTACGTCATCGGCTTGTGTTCCGGCGGGGGCGGCGAGCCTCCGAAATGGATCTGCAGGAAGGGCTCAAAGTGGAGGCAGAACCAGCCGCCATCGGAAACCAGGTGGAGGAACGGGACGGTGGCGATGGCTAGTAGGTTGGCATGCGCCCCGGTGACCGGGGGTTAGCCATGCGCAGGCACCCCGCTCGTCAATCATCATGAGCCACCCGCCCGAGGAACCGATGGCGACGTGGCCACGCATGGCAATGTCCGAAGTGCGCACGGACGCGGATGGCGATGCGGAGAGGACAACCTTGCAGTAGAAGACCTGCCGCATCTGGGCGGCCGTGAGCATGTACGTCCCCATGTACGTCGTCGGCTTGTGTTCCGGCGGGGACGGCGAGCCTCTGAAATGGATCTATAGGAAGGGCTCAAAGTGGAGGCAGAACCAGCTGCCGTCAGAAACTGGGTGGAGGAACGAGACAGTGGTGATGACCGGCAGGTCGACGTGCGCCCCGATGACTGGGTTAGCCATGCGTAGGGCGCCCCGCTCGTCGACCATCACGAGCCACCCGCCTGAGGAACCGATGGCGATGTGGCCACGCAAGGCGACATCAGATGTGAGCACGGAGGCGGATTCCTCGTCGGCCAGGGACAACACCATGACGCGCAGCGGACGGAGGTGAAGGCGAGGCGCCTGAGGAAGTCGAGGCGGTGGTGGATCTCGGCCAGCAGCTCTGGTGGGAGGCGCTGGAACTGGGCAGCGGCGACGGCCCACTGCTCAGCATCCAATTGCTTCTTCTGCTTCTGCCGCTAGATATTGTTTGCAGGATCCAGAGTAGGGCACGACGGCCTGCTTATATATTGCCCATGTAGGTCGGTGGACTTGGATCTATCGGTCCCAAGTTTTTTTCTTTGCCTGACACGTATACCAAGCAAACTATAGGTACTACCAAAAAAACAGAATCAAATGGAAGTACAAAACAATGCCATTTAACAATTGTATAGCAGTTTTTTCAATGGCAACGAACAAAAGCTATTGGATGCCACGTGTATAGCTTCTGATGGCAAACGAGGAATTTTCTCTAATTTTTTAGGCTTTATATAGATGGGCAGATGGGTAGCATGATGGCCATCGGACGATGCAGCACGACAATAATAACACTACTAAAAGAAAGTTTTTCCTCAAATAACCAATGATTTTCGGGAGATAGTCATTTTAGCTAAGGGGATGGCAAAATATTATCCATCTCCTGAAATCGATTTACGGAGATCCATCTTTGTTGATAGGCTGAGCCTAAAATGAATTCATTTGCCCCATTTCAGCCCAATTTTGAGTCTTGACTATATAAGCGGGCAAAACCCTGACTCCCTCCCTTCTCTCTCAGCCCACCTGTAGCTTTAGCCACGGCCCCTCTGTAATGACCCGAGTTCATTACAATATAAGCAGACATTTTTTACCACCGAAAGAAGCAATCACCCGAATTTCTGTGAAGATCCCTGGTGCTCTAAACACGGATGATCGTTGAGGACCTGCCAAAAATAACCCGCAATCATCTTTGGATAGCCATGGTCAGGCTTACACCCAAAGTAAGGAGAGCGACCCCAAGCGAATTAGGAGATATCCTATTGACTTCATCAACCCCAATTCAACCTCAGCCAAGTACCCCAGGACATGATAACCTAGCCCCAATGCCAAACCATTCAAGGATTGGATCAAATCAACAAAGACATCAGGTTACTGGACAGTCCACCATTTCTACCAGACCATCCGGAGAAACATAGAACAGCAACAGAAAAGTGGAGATGAGTTGTTTGCCACTTATGGGAGTGGGACCCACATATCAGCATGAAATGGGATATATATCTCTCAGCTGAAGCCATACTCTCTCACTCATCCTTTCATTTGCAATACTCACTCTCTCTCCCTTTCTACCCACTCAAGAACAAGCAAGAACCCTAGAAGCTAGAGAGGGGAGAGATTAAAGAAAAGATTGGAGGAAAGGGAGAGGAAGAAGGAAAGCATCAGCAGCAGCCCATGGACACCCTTCACCCTCAACCCCTTCATGGTGAGCTCAAGAAGAACCACCCCCATTTCTTGGATTTTCCACCCAAAGATCTAATCCATAGTCTTTTGATGCAAGGATTGAAAGTGTCTTGTTAGTGGTGGTTCCATCATATGTAAGTAAGTTCAAGAAGTTCTTATCTAGCTCAATCACCCAACAACCCCATGGATTATTCTTTGATTCATCTTTTTGGGAATGTTTGCAAGAGGAAGATCATATGAAGATAGGTCATGTTTGGATGGAGAAGTAAGAGTGAAGAAGGTTTGGATCTTCAAGTTTTTGGCTACGAAAGCTCTCAAATCTCAGAGCTAAGGATTTCATCTCAATATCATGGTTTTGTCTTCATATCCTCACATCTCTAAGTTTGATCCTAAACCTATAGCCACACTTAGCAAAACAAACTTCAAACTTAGCTATCTTGAGCCTAGTAAGCCACCTAAGCTACCCCAGAGATATCTTCCACATGCATAGATCACAGCTGAGCACATCTAAGTTTGAACCCCAAGATCATCCAAGAACATAGGTTTTGTCGATAGCCTGATGGAGCATTCGTCAATCCGACGGAGTGTCCGCCAACCCTAGAAAGACACCCATCAGAGCCTTATCTGCTGTCGACATGAGTCAATGGAGTGTCCGCGGCTTCACCAGAGTCTCCGTTGATTTATAAGAGTGTATGACCTAGAAACCCAAGAGCATCGAGTTCTCAGTGGAGAGTCTGTGACCCCTCACAGAGCCTGACTCAGTAACCCAGAAAACCCAAGACGTCCTAGTTCCTACCGGAGTGTTCGTCAAACCAAACAGAGTTTAGCCAGACCTGAGTCACCTTGGAGCCCAACCTGATGGAGTGTCCACCACCTATGTCAGAGTGTTCGTCAAGAAAACAGTAAGTGTTAGTTGTTTAGAAAGCTTACCCAACAATACTAGGTTAAGCTTAGTTTCAAACAGTGCAATAGTAGAGCCAAGTTAGAAGCCTTTATCCAAAGCTCTGAGCCGAGTCTTGTTCCTAAGCCTCCATCAGTTATCTTCAGCCCCAATCTTCATCTTCTTTCAGGAGCTGAGTAGCGTGAGGAACATGTGTGAGTTGTCGTCTACAACTTCTAATTCGTTCAAGCGGCAAAACCAGGCAGGCACCCCACTATTATAAGCTCTATTTTGGATACTTATCATGTTTCATTATGAGTTATGCATTTCATGTAGATTTGGTTAATCAACTTTATGATGTTTCACTAAGTTAGAACTACTCACTAATTAATTAGAGCCTTCATTTAATCAATGGGTTTGGTAACATTTAATTGCTTACTTGATTAGACAACAGTAGAAGTTGAGTATGATAAGAGAACTCATACTTGCGCATGTAGGATGCTACACCGGGATAATTAACAACTAAAACGAATGAGGGTTACAACTTGTCTACTTCCCTAATCTTGACTAAGGGCCCACCTTAAATTTGGTATATGAACATGATGATCAATTTGGCAATTCTTGCTCAAGCGAGGGGTAGGTCACTGTGAGTGTGGGATCTCAAGTGGCATAGCTCGTGGAGCAGTTAAGGACCATGCATTGGGATATGTGAGTCCGAGTAACCACCCGTACAAACCACATGTCACATATGAGGGCAGCAAGCCTAGTAGCTAATTGCGACCGGTCTATCCATGAGACTAGCAAGAAGGTGGTGCCGGTTAGATGGTGGTAGCATTAACCGGGCACCAGTCGAACCTTTCATGGGATATTCGAGCCGATTTAGGGAAAGGTTGGAAGACGTGAGGCAACCCTTATCTTGTGCACAAGGTATGGTGGTTAGTCCCGTTCTTCCGTGTGGATACAAGTTGTACACCTCTGTAGAGTTTTGAAAGCCTAAAGTCCAGGACGGACCCCTTATGGTTGTTCCTACTTTCTATACCCATGGTAGTGTAATGAACTAAATGTGATGAGAAGTTTACATATGTTGATCACTCCTTTAGATATCGTACCTTACTAATGCTAGTACTCCCTAATAAACACCATATGCTTCTCCGCAAATGTACAAATTCCTGATAATACTTTTGCATCCACCAAATATTTATGTGTTGGAATTAAGTCCTGCAAGTATGAAATATACTCACGGCGCTACCATTAAGTTGTTTTGCAGGTAATGTCGTTGGTTGATGTGTCAATGCTCTATTCGCTGCTACATAGTAGACCCCAGAGTGGGTGACCCCGGGATGAACTACAAGTTAACTCCGATAAGAATCCAAGAGAATAAGCGAAGAGTTGAACCTACAAAGGGAAATCCTAAAATTGTGTTTATTCCATGTCTTATGTATTTTTGAATTAAAATTATTCCTAGCAGGCTCTTTTAACTACAATAATCTTGGGCATGATGTTGGGTGTTGTGTGCGTTCGTTTGTCACATGGGGTGTTCCGTGTCACTCGACCGTTACAAAGATCCTGAGTCGGGGCAGTCGTGACACCCTCCCTCTCACGAGAAAATTGCATTTTTACCGGTAAACAAGGCACAAAATTACATCCCAAATATTGCTTTTGTAAAAATAGACATTTGCTTCTTGTTTTCTTTACTATTTTTCCTCTTTTCCTCCTTTCTCTTTATTTCTCCTAAAATCTGCCACATGAAAGGATGAATTTGCCCCTGTCCTAATTTCTAACAAGGACAGGTCCGCGGTGGAAGAAAGATTTCAAAAAAAACTTGTGTCCCCCCCCCAAATAAAACTTGGTAGTTGAAAGGGGAAACTCCTTTCAGTCGGGGGTAGGCTGGTTTTAATTAATTCAGTCCTCTCGAGCCTTCCTATGTTTATGTTTTCTTTCTTTAAGGCTCCTAAAGGTGTTCTCAAAAAGTTAGATTACTAGGTTTTTCTGGCAATGTGATGAGCATACGAAAAAGCACCACCTAGCCAAATGGAGTATTCTATGCACTCTGAAACACATAGGAGGATTAGGAATTTTGAATTTAGAGATTCAAAACAAATGTCTTTTGAGCAAATGGCTTTATAAGTTAGTCGAGAATGGCCTATGGAAACACTTACTTAAAAGGAAGTACTTATATAATAAGACCGTTACTCAGGTCACTAGAAGACCTGCAAACTCGCAGTTTTGGTCGGGTCTCGTGTAGGTAAAGGATCATTTCTTGTCTTTTGGCACCTTTAAGGTAAAAAACAAGAAAAAGTTAGATTTTGGGAGGATCATTGGACTGGTGACAAACCTTTAATGTTGGCTTATCCCATGTTGTATAGAATTGTTAGGAAGAAGTATGTAGCAGTGGATAGTGTGCTAAGTTATGCCCCTCTTAATGTTTCTTTTCATAGAACTTTAGTAGGAGACAAAATAGTTGCTTGGTTGGAACTAGTTTCAAGGGTAGCTTATGTTAATTTGACTGATGAGGATGGCAACTTCATTGTCCGCTCTATGTATACTGCTTTGATTCAGCAAAATACAATTACCAAGAAAATGTGATCTTTGGAAAGCAAGAGTTCATCTTAAGATCAAAATCTTCTTGTGATATTTAAAAAAGGGGTGATTTTAACGAAAGATAATCTGACCAAAAGACACTGGCAGGGTAGTCCCAAGTGTTGTTTTTATAATGCTAGTGAAACAATTCAACACC